AATTTTTAGCGCGATTCAATTTTAGAACCAGAGTTATTCATTTTGATTAGTCCCTCCATGCACCACCTTGATGACATTGTTACACCAGAAATATTCAATAAAAAGCTTTTTCTTCGATTTACCACCACGAAGGTGAATTTTTTTAACCTTAAATTTACCCTTTTCTTTTAACGCTCCATGAAGAACATTGAAAAAAAAAAACATTACACCAGAATTTTTTTTTTATTCACCAATGTGGTGCAATTTTTTGACCAAAAAACATCAATGAAGTTCGTCCCTTCATGTACCTTAGTGGTGAAATTTTCAGGCACCATCTCAAAGGAATTGGCGCAATAAAAGGGTTTCAATTTTACCTTCAAATCAAGTTATCAAGAAATCTAGATGTTTTTTATCATAACTTCGAAAATGTGGAAATAAAAATCTTATTTATAAAAGGTGAGGCAGTTGCCCCACCTTACCCCACCCTGTGCACGCCAGTGGTGATCACATGAATGTTATGTGATATTCAGATAGATATATCTGTTTTTTTTTTTTTTTTTATTGAAAAAATAGTGCAATGCATTCCCAATGGAAACTAAGTGAAAACTTTTGTCCGTATACTAATTTCATATGTACATCGAAATGTTGCTCAAATTAGAAAACAAATTCCAGTAAAAGTTCGGAAAGTTTTACTCAATCTATGAGTAAATTACGTTTTAAAGAATATGGAGTGAACTAATCTCAACTTTAAGTCAACCTCATTTTTCGTGTAATTGTAATTTAATTATTTATTTATTGTGTATAACGTATACGGCGTAAATGGATGCATTACCAACTCCACTTAGATTCAATTTGTTAAAAGCAGGTCTGATTTGCTCGAAATGAGTTTAACTGACATTTAAAATATCGCATCTATTACATGCCCCCCTACCCCCTCCGTCACACGCAAAACTTCTACAAATTTTATGCAGCTCAATTACAGACATTTCTGAAATTCACAGATATTTTTCGCAAACTTCTGGAAAAAATCTGGCACCTCTGCTTTCGAAAGAAGGCGTGTTCAGAGATTTTATGCTTCAGAAAATCCCGACGGTGCCGACTAGGGCTGAACCCAGGCCTTTTGGATTGAGAGGCAACCATGCTTATTACACGATTCTGGATCACCACCAAAACCGAAATTCAAGCTATTTCTCACTTGAAAGATCAGAGCAACTTGTTGTGTTATGTTCCAGCTTGTTCCTGGAGCCGCTGTCAATCAAGTGTTTTGAGATCCTTCCATCATACTAAATCATATATACATCACATATTATTGTTACATTCACCCTTTATAACTCGGAGCGTGTTATTTCCACTCCTGTAGATTCACGGAATGCATCGCTGTTTAAATAGATTTATTTAAACTCGAATCATTTCACAGAATCATCTTTGCGGCAAATATAACGCAGTAGACCTGGCCAATTTGATGTTCGTATCATATCTCAGAAATGCTGCTAGCATCAATGTAGGCCTTACCTAATCTAATCAATTTCCAGGATGCTTTCTGCGTTTTTATGAGATTACTAGCTGAGTGTGCCTGGCCTTGCTCGGGATTCAATATTAGCTTGAGTTTATGCGTCCGAGGGGGTTTCAAAAAAAACCATCATAAGAACCTTTCCCTGCCCCAAAAACCCCTGCATACAAATTTTCACGCCGATCGGTTCAGAAGTTTCCGAGTCTATAAGGGTCAGACAGAAATTAATTTTGATATATATATATATAAAAGAAGATAGGGGAAATGGATGTAATGTCGGCCTAAATGCCCCTAATTTGGGCCCATACATAAATTAAGCAATCGACTATATTTTCAAAAGCGACCAAAAATATCGATTAGTACCGTCAAAATGGCGTGTTTTATCTAGATGAAATTAATATATATAGTAGATTTTTAGCGATGGGTCCAATCTTAGATTCAAAGGCCAACATAAGAGCCATTTCTCCTATTAAAGGGTGATACGGTCAAAATTTGGTCAAGGGAAAACGCGTGTAAATCGGTGAAATCGTTTATTTAAAAAATCAAATTAAATTTCTTTTTCAAGTTCAATTAGTATAAAATTCAGGAAAAATATTCAGTTAGGCTTCCGCTTTTCCAAATCCGAATTGCCGGGCCTTACGCTTGACCCCTGCCATCAGATTTTGTACAGCCACTTTGTCCACCTTCTTCGCCGCAGAAAGCCAGTTTGCCTTGAACTGCTGCTCGCCCTTAGCAGTTTTTTTGGTCTTCTTTAGGTTCCGCTTGACAATAGCCCAGTATTTCTCAATTGGGCGGAGCTCTGGCGTGTTGGGAGGGTTCTTGTCCTTGGGAACCACCTGCACGTTGTTGGCGGCGTACCACTCCATGGCCTTTTTACCGTTATGGCAAGATGCCAAATCCGGCCAAAACAGTACGGAACAACCGTGTTTCTTCAGGAAAGGCAGCAGACGTTTATTCAAACACTCTTTCACGTAAATTTCTTGGTTGACAGTCCCGGAAGCTATGAAAATGCTGCTATTTCAAGCCACAGGTACAGATGGCTTGCCAAACCAGATATTTCTTTGCGAACTTTGACAGTTTCATGTGCTTGAAAACATCTGCTACCTTTCCCCTTCCTTTTGCCGTATAAAACTCCTGTCCCGGAAGCTGCTTGTAGTCGGCTTTGACGTAGGTTTCGTCGTCCATTAGCACGCAGTCAAACTTCGTCAGCATCGTCGTGTACAGCCTCCGGGATCGCGCTTTGGCCGTCGTATTTTGTTTATCATCGCGATTTGGAGTCACTACCTTCTTGTAAGTCGATAGTCCGGCTCGTTTTTTGGCTCGATGCACGGTTGTAGACGATACACCCAGCTTATTTGCGGCATCTCGGAGAGAGAGGTTAGGGTTTCGCTTGAAACTACCGGCAACTCTCTTTGTCGTCTCAGCGGCTTCCGGTTTTCGATTTCCCCCCGATCCAGACTTCCTGGCTGTCGACAAACGTTCCCCAAACACTTTAATTACATTTGTAACGGTTGATTTGGCAACTTTTAGCGATTTTGCCAACTTTGCGTGCGAGTAGCTCGGATTTTCGCGATGCGCGAGCAAAATTTTGATACGCTGCTCTTCTTGCTTGGACGGCATTTTGACAACTGAAGAGTGAATTCCAAAATCAAAATAGGAGCAACATTCTACACACACACACCTTCAAATGAGGGGTGTTCAGGTTTTTTAAATGCAAAATTGAAAGAAATACGTCAAGTTGATATTGACCAAATTTTGACCGTATCACCCTTTAGATCTGATTAGAGTGAAACTTCTTTGGATTTTCCTCATATTCGAGAAGTTTTTCCTGGAAAATCGAGAAAACTTGTATAGCTACTAAAAAGTGTGTACGCTCTTAACTCACTGTTGAGTAAACGCCGTTGTTGACAACTCAATCGGTAGATAAAAGGTGTACCGAGAATTGATTGGTTTTATGAGGGTTCTGTAGACCATGATTTAGATTTGTAGCATGCTTTAAAACCTCCATTAAACTTGCATTGTTACGTGGGAATGCACCTATTTTTGACGCAACCTTACGTCGAACTACTCAATATAAGTTCTACACCACTTACTTGGCACAGATCCTACTTTAAAAATTGAAAAACGTTGCTTAGTAATGATAAATTTTGAAAAATGAGGAGTGAAACACATTAGTTTTCAAAATATTGTACCAATTCGGTAGGCTCGGTAGGCTATCAATTTTTGCCAAAGTCACTCCGTTTGATCGTTTGTTGATGAGGTTTATTAAACATCAACGAAGCACAATTAAAAGCAACAAAAGCCGAATGAAAGAATACCGAGGGAAAAAAAACCGGGAGCCGAAACCACTTTTTCACACTCTTTTCAGCCGATCGATTCCCCCGCCGACGAAAAGCCGAACAATTGGAACAAACAGACTGGACCGGCGACGGCCGCATGATGGTAAAGCCGAGTAGCGCAAAAAATTAAACCCGAATAAAATCGTGAATAATCATAAAAATGAAACACATCTTCACCTCAATCATCGGGCCGCAAAGGTGATGGTGGCCGTTAGAAACACGTACCTAAAGTATGCATATGTGTGTGTGTGTGAATCTGGATTTAAAAATAAGTTTTCATCAATGATTGCGCCAGTAGGTAACTCGGATTTTGGGAATCGAAACCAGTTTGTGATTGAAAAGAGAACATCTAGGTAGGTATGTAGGTAGGCAACACAGGCCTAGCACCAGATTCATTCATTGAATCGTGCTCCGAGTAGAGCGCAAAAAGGGGGCTGGGGTAAATCAGTTTTCCAGAGTATCAAATCAGCGCAAATGGCCTCCGGCAGGCTTTCAACGGTCGTCGCCGTGATCGTCGTCATCCATTGCCATTTGATGCTTGATGATAGCGAAGGTTTCGATTCACAAAACTCTATTCGATCGAAAGTGTGAATAATGGCAACGACGACGACGACGACAACGGGTGAATGAAATGAAGTCGAAGCGTAAGAATAAACTTCATGTAATTACGTCAGAATGACTCTCGTGATTGCATTGGAATACGGCAATCACGTGGAGCTTGTCGTTCGTTAGAGAGAAGACGGCTTTTCTTCAACGAAATTAGATTTTTTTTTCCATGCTACTGTATTTATACGAATATTGCGCAATCATAATTACTTTCAATTTTGTAGCGTTTTTTCTCAGATTTTGCTACCTTTTTCAAACTTGGTTGATTCCGTTTTTTTTTGTTATTTACGTAACTGCTACGCCGTTACCACTGAGCAAACATGTTTGACGTCAATAATGATCCAGTTTTTAATTTTCTGCCGTTCCTTCAAAAAAAAAACCACCAAGATAGCATCTCACCTTGAAAATAGCAACAACATCAAAGGCCAATTTCAGTTTTCTTTCTCCCGTTTCTATCCCGCTCGAAAAGAAGTAATCGCTCCACGGCGGGAGATTTTCCTTCCGAAAATTACACACCTCCCAGTCTGACCCCCCCCCCCCCCCCAAGCCACTTAAAACTGACTCACCTTAATCAGCTTCTCGCGTATCTCCCAGCTAAAGATGCCCGGGTTCATCTTCTTCATCTCCTCGATGCGCGTTTCCACTTCCGGTGTGGCCACCTTCGGCTTGGAGCCCCCGATCACACCGGGACGAATCGAGCCCGTCTCCTGGTAGCGGTTCAGTATCTTCGAGACGCAGCCATGGGAAACGCGCAGCTGGCGGGAGATCACGCACGGCCGAATGCCGGCGGCTGCCATCTCGACGATCTTCAGGCGGATGTGGTTGGGCAGGGGGCGACCGTTGATGAACACACCGCCGAGCTGGTTGACGCGGCCTTGACCTGTGGATGATTGTGTGTGTGTGTGTGTGTGTAGAGGACAGAGATGGGAAAGGTGAAAAATTCAATTAGTGAGAGGCGCTGATAAGGTTGATGACTTTTTCTGAGCGTTGTGGTCGTTTGCTTTTATTGCGATTGTGATTTTCTGGTGGTAAGGTCAATATCGCCAATAGCAAACTGAATCTGAACGGTTTCTGATAGCTTCCTTTATTTTTGAGTGGGCTATAAATTAAGCTTTCAGAGCACACCGTAGTTGACTCATGCGCTTAAACTAATCCCTCTGAATCGAAGTAATCATTTTCAAAGTTATATCGCCGCCAATATTTGACAATCATCATTGCCAGGCCAAACCGCAAAAAAAATATTTCAGATTTAACCTTCTCCGATGTGCAGATTTCCATGAAACTTTTAATAATTCTTTGTTATGGTCAATCATTTGCATTTGAGCTAAAATTCGCCTCTGACTCCGAGATCTAAAGATTGAGTTTAGATTGATCATAATTATACATACTTGCAAATCTTCATTAAATGTGCTTTATGCATGAATTTCTTCAAACCTATTTTAATGAGAAATTGGCACGAGAAAGGGTTTCTATTTTGTTGAAACTTATTTTACGTTGCTAGTGCGCGTTCAAGTGACTTCGTTTCACGAAACATGAATACATGAGAATATTGCCAGATCTACGACCATCACCATTGGAAAAACCACTCCAGAAGTTCTCTAAAGGGAATTCTGTTAAGAACACACTCTCAAACGTCGATGATAACGATGGTTCCCCTAAGGATTGAACTTGATGATTTATTAATAAGATAATTTAACTACGTTTGGAAAAAGACGAACCAAATTCATCTACAGACAATTCCTGAAAAAAATGCTTTCAATTGCCTCAACAGCGACATAAGTGTGAAATTACCGTTCGAGAAAACCACAAATATTTCCAGAGTTGGTTGGAAATGCTATCTAACATAAACCTTTAGTGTGTTAATTTACTAGCTAGAGAAAGTTCTGAGGCGGTTGGGTAGATAGTTCCGCTTGAGTAAGGCAGTATGAAAATTTAAAAGAAGTTGAAAATGGGCGAAGGGTCATTAGTGTGGAAGTACTAGTCAAACGCACACTTCTTTACCTAACTCATGAAATGGAATTGAAGTATTTCTTCAAATCTACAGACAAAAAAGTCCAGCAAGTCAGACTTGCTCATATACTGTCTGCGGCTATGGAATAGTTGTAGCGACGTTTCAACACTGCCTAAAGTCCCACGTTGCATTAAAGATGTTTTACAATGTATTGGTTATATATTTTTGATTTACATACATACGCGGTCCAAAAAATCATGTATTCAATTTTGTGAAACGCAATCAATGCGAAACACTTTTCGTGATACAACCGAGAGTGATATAAACGGAGTGCTAAGAAACGTCGCTGTCTCCCATAATTCCACAGAACTTGTTGTAAGCCTCTGAAAAAAATATTTTATTGAAAGGGATTGCTCTGAAGCTACATGGTGGTCCTTGATGTACTCTGGACTTCACTGAATATCATGAAACTATCTAAAAGATACAACATTTCTTTGAAGATCGCTGGAATTTCTTGAAGATAACGCATTTCTTATTAAATTAATGGAACTGCCTTGGAGCTCTCTAATAAATTCTAAAAAAAAATTCCGACCATATATGAAGTTCTTGAAATTGCCATGATTTTCAAATAATATTCTTAAAATACTCACAGATTTTCCTGATGTCAAAATAACTTTTTTCTTATTATTCTCCATTTGGTACATTAATTTGATCTATTGTAGCATATCCCTTGTCCTTCATTTAGTGCCTGTCGTATTACTCCATATCTATTGAGAAATGATAAAGTTGTCTCTCTTTATCAGTTTTTGTTTGTCGTCTTCATGAGTTTCGTCGTCGCCCACTGATCACCATACCCGGCCGAACTCCAAACGAATCTTGAACCGCGCTACCGTTCATACTGGCGACAACGCTCTGATCAAACAATGAAACCCCACCCCCAAGCTCCTCCCCTGATCCTATCCTTCGAAAATCTCTCTAACCTTGGGTAAGCCGCGACTATTCGACCCAACTCCTACTAGACATAGAAATAAGTGAATTCGATTACAAACAATCAATAATTGTACCAAATTAATGGATGGCATTCGTTTCCACAATTCAATTCGAGGCGCTTATGAGGCTGAGCAATAACATGTCTTTGGCAATCATAATGAGATCGTTGAAAAAATTAAGCCAGAGATCGTGAATGAGCTCAAAAGTGAACTTGGACTGAACTTAACCGCTTCGATCAATTCCAGTGCACTTACACCAAAATCATGAGCTCGTAAAGGGCGAACACGAAATTATTGCGACACCGAAAATGTCATGCCAATTTTCTTATAATGTTTAGAATCAAACCAAAATTTTAGGGTAGTTTTATACATATATTTACTTCAAAAACCAAAAGAAAAGTTAATCGATGGAGCCTTGAGTGTAAAACTGAACGCATTTTCGCTTGATTCCCTCCATCAAAGTCTTTACAGTGTCATCCGGTACCAGTTTCTCAGTTTTTTTTTTTCTATTTTCTTTACATGTCCTTCTCTTTTTTGACTTTCTTCTTGCTCTTCCGAAGTTCCCGCTTCATTATTGCCTAGTACTGCTCCACCGGGCGCAGCTCCGGACAGTTTGGCGGATTCATGTCCTTTGGAACAAAATGGACAGAATTGGCCTCATACCACTCCAGGACACTTTTAGAATAGTGGCATGATGAAAAATCTGGCCAAAATAGCGGAGCTTCTTTGTGCTGCTGCAAGAACGGCAAAAGGCGCTTCTCGAGGCACTCAGATTTGCAGATCTCGCCATTTACTGTGCCTTTTGTCACGAAAGGCTCATTCCTCAGTCCGCAAGAGTAGATGGCCTGCCAAATGAGATATTTGGAGGCGAACTTCGACATTTTCTTCTTCTTAAATTTGTCGTCCACATCGAACTTGCTCTTGCCGGTGAAAAACTCCAACCCCGGAATTTGCTTAAAATCGGCTTTTATATACGTTTCGTCGTCTATCACACAGCAGCCATATTTTGTCAGCATCTTTTCGTAGAGCTTCCGTGCCCGAGTTTTAGCCGTCGATTGTTGCCGCTCATCGCGGTTTGGGAAGTTCTGTACCTTGTATGTATGTAGTCCAGCTCTCTTCTTTGCATTCTGGACGTAGCTCTGCGACATGCCGATCTTTTTAGCCAAATCACGGCTTGAGACGTTGGAATTTGCTTTAATCATCCGCTTCACCTTTCCCTCCGTCTTTTTGTTCTCCGGTCCCGGTTTTCTTCCAGCTCCTTTGCCGTGGTCCAACGTCAACCGCTCCTGGAACCGCTTCAACACTCTGGAGACGGTTGAATGATGAATGTTCAACATTTTTCCCAACTGCCGGTGCGACAGGTCAGGAAATTCCAGGTGTTTGGAAAGAATTTGTTCTCTCAACTCGCGTTGGTTCACCTCCATTTTCGTTGAATCGAAAAACACGACTTCGAGTTTGACAGCATGTACACAATACACATCAATGAGAAAGTGTGCAAAATTTGGTTGATTTTTACCCAATGGGAAAAAAGTTATGCCCTGTTGAATGTGTCGCAATAATTTCGTGTTCGCCCTTTACTACGAATGCCACGGGGTTTTTGCCAAGCCGACGCTTGTTCCGTAAACCTGAACCTGCTGAACGCGGTCAACAGGAAGCTCAATATCTCCATTTATCGGCACTTTCACTCTGCCACCTCCTAGGCAGAAGTTTTGGCTCTACCTTTCGCGTATTTCCCGTGATGTCACATTGGAGCAAGTACGTGAACTGGCAGTATGAGTTCTGACCTGAAAGTAAAGGCTCTTTCGACTGCAACGTTGCCAAAGGGAATACTATTCTGAGAGTTCAATTTATCCCCCAGCACGGAGTCACCCAATCACCCGGATCACCAAGAGAACGCCATGACAGAATAAGTGACAAATCACCTCGCTCCACAGTGCTCATCTCTGTTATCTACCTTCCTCCTGACCGAGTCAATGATGTGGTTGTCATAGAAATTTGGCGCTATCTTAGTGATCAACGAAAAGAGACCGGACTTCCTTCAATAATGTCCAACGGTGATTTAGAAGTTTCAACTACACAGCAAAAAAATAATTTTGATATCACATCAAAGTGGATGTACTTCACTCGTGTCATAAATATGGTGTAATATTACTTGCCAAAAAGGACAAAATTAACATTAATACAGTGTACAGGGTGCGTGACGAATTTTTGCAGTAAATTTCAAATAGTAATTTCTCATGCTTGTGCATCATGATTAAGATATATTTGGCAGCACTGGATAGCTTATACTGTTAGGTGTAAGATTTAAACAAACAATGTTGAGTAAACGTAAAGATGTCGAAACAAGAGAGCAATATGTCAGCCGTTGTCGCTTTGTTGCGCGCCGGAGTATGCATGAAAGAAATAATTCGGTCGGTAAATGTGTCTGAAAGAACCAACTCCCTGGCAACTTGACAACTTCAGTATATTTCCAGTGTACCCCGACAATTTGGTGCTGGTGGTTCTGTCAAACTCACAAATTTCAGAAGTGTTATCTGAATAGGGCGAATTCGGAAATGATGTACAGTAAATAAAAATAAAATTTAAAATTCATCTTATTTTCGCGCGTCCACCGGTTTGGACACGTGACGTCCGATATAAAAATTAACATTAGCAACATACGAACTACAGTGATGCCAGCGAGAAATGTCGTTATGATTCTCAGTAGTACATAATAAATACAATACGTAATCAGTATATGAAACATTTTTTGTTTAATTTGGTGTAGCGTTTGTATTTGACCAGTTCATAACGAAAAGCTTACACATATGACTTGAATTTTTTTTTTTAAATTTCTTGCGACAACGGATCTTTGCAAAAATATATACAAAAATCGTCAGAACTCAATTTTAGCTGATATTCTTGAAAATTCTGGTTAACATCCTCTTCACTTATATGATC